GTAAAAGTTATGTAAACATAATTGAATTCACAATAAAGGCAGTAGCAACCATAACAAAAAGGCCTTAGCGAAAGAAAAAAAAAAAAAAAAAAAAAAATTTTTTTTTTAGTATTAAGTTGACCTTTTTGGCCTTAGTTTTTTATTAAAACTTATATTAGATACATGTTTTATATAAGTGTATCTATATTGAACTATCAGATGAGTATACAACTAGCTACACATATAACTTTTCTATATTACTTATTTAAGAAGTTCACTCGAAGGTTTTCTATCAGTTGTCATACCTAATATCTCTACTTAGATGTTCTATTTAAACTCTCTGATCTGACTCTAGTATTAATTTCACTAAGTTACAGACTCAGATTTATTTGCTTTTAACTATAGAACTACAATCCTTAGACTATTTTTATCTTAAGGCAAACCTATCAGAGTAAGTCATATTCTTTTTTACCACTAAACTGATTTAAAACTATAACAAAGACCAATACTTGTAGTCAGAATTATTCTTTAAACTACTATTATCTTTATAAAATTCACTCAAACCCTGATACCTATTTTTCTAACTTTTTTTTTATTATCCTTTACTAGTCACAACTCAGAACTAACTGATTTTTCAGACTTCTAATCTAGATGGTCTAATATAGTATACTTATATATTCTTTTCTTCTGATGATTCTAACAGTCTGATTAATCATATATTTCTCTATATATTTTTGTTATTTGGTTTATCTAACAATTCCTATGAAGATGTTTCATAAACTTCTATTAGTCTAATGATATTATTGAAAGTTTGTACTATCTCTTTATTTAAAATTTCTAAGTAGGTTTCTGTTTTCTCAATTTTTTAGCCTTCTACATCTAGTGATCTTATCACAGATTTGTATCAAAACTTTATACAACACTGGTTTTTTACATTCCTCTATATATGTATAATATTATACTTTATATAGATGCCTCAAGCTCCCAATGTCAGGTAGAACCTGACTTGGTATATCTAAAATTAAAAATACCCAAAACTCAACTAATCAGCAAGAAACAGTTACCATAATACAGATATAATTTTCAAAATTCATTGTTTATAAGAATTAAACTTTAGACCTGCCACTTGAGGTTTAACAATCTATTCACTTTACTAGGTTATCACATCTCTAATTAATTAATTAATTTTTTTAAAAAACAAACTAATCTATTATATTTTTGTTTTAATACATAATACTAGGCATGAAATGAACAAAAATTACTTAGAATAATGTGTTAATTGAAACTATTAAAAATTGGTAGTTTTATATAAAAATTATATTATTATATAATAAAACTGAAAAGTTTATTTTCACTCTTATTATTAACAATCTTAAAAATATAAAAGACAATCCAACTGAAGAATTAATTGTTAAAGAACTTAAATAACAAATAGATATTCTATATATTTATACTTCAATATCAGCCAATAACTGGTTGAATAATAAAGGTGAACAAGAGATGCATTAACAATTTGCTGATAAAAACTTCAAGATGTTATGAAAATAGAACAAGAGAAAGAAGATGAAAAAATCTTAGAACTAACCCTAACTGCAAAAGAAAACTTGACTGTTTTATATAATACTTTGAAAATTGTTACTAAGATGATTGATAATGAAAAAATAATATTAAGATCTTTTTATAAGATCCAATCACAAATCTGTAATAAGGTTTAAATAGAAAAAAATAAAAAACAGGTTTAATGTACACTAGATTATTTTTTTTTTAAGGTTTGCTTTCATAATATCACTAGTGTAAAAATAACTAATTCATAAAACAATTGAAACATTAACAAAAAAAAACTTTTCTTAAATTCTACCAGTAAATGCTTAATTCATCTTTATGAATAAGTAAATAATCTAAATAAATAATGTTTAAACATTCTTTAGGCCACTTCAAATTAATTTTCTGTTTTACATAATATAAATAGTTTGTAAAAGTGGAAAAAATTGTTAAACAGAAAATTAAATTAATCTGACTTTATAAAATAAAGCACTATGTTTCTATACCGAACTATAATAAATTCTATAATAAATTTTTTTAAATAAGTTCATTATAGAGTAAGTTTTTTAAGAAAGGTTTGGTACATTTAAAAAAAATCAAATGCACTTACATTAATGATGTGTATAAGGTTCTCCTTCTAAAACTTCAGGTGCAACATAAGGCATAACTTCATAAATTTCTTCACATTAATTGTGTTCTTCAATTTTTTTAGATAATTAAAAATCTGCAATGTAAGAAAATATAGATCCATCAATGTTATTTTGCAAAATATTTCCATTATGAAAATCATTGTGTGTGGTTTAGTAGTAACCTTGTGGTTTAAGATTTTCTGTTTTTAATATAAAATGCACCTTCCTTAAGTAAAAACAATGTGGTACAGGCTCAAATCGAAAGAGCATAGTACTGAAATTATAATATCTAGATCTAGATCGTATAAACTTTTTTGTTAAAAGAGGGGGTCGTTTAAAGCTTCCGATTTTTAATTAATTAATGTGGCAGATTAATATTAGGGTTAGTGTTAGGATTTGATCAAAGGTGTTTATATATACGTAGTAAAATCGCATGTCTGACGCTTTACTTAGTGAACCAAGACAGATTCAGATAGCCGTTTTTTTATATATTTTGTTTTTGTCATTGCCGTTTTGCTTCGTTTTATTCAGACCGATTCGGGTATATATTGAGTAATTTCGTAAGGTGCCAGGCTTTAAATGACCCCTAAAAGAGTGCATATATTATAATTCTAAGAGTAGTACAGAGGTAAAAAAAATTGATAATCAGCAAAGATATAACTTACGGCCTGATAGTATTGTTTTTGATGCGCTAGTATTTTATATTTATATACCACATCAAAAATAACACTTTTGTATACAACTCTCCAAGCCGATATCTCATTTTTTAAGTATCGATTATCAAGTTATCGGGTTTGGAATATGGAACAGCTATGGGAGTCGATTTTATATCGATTATTGAGGGTTATCGGGTTTGACAGGATCAGTTTTGACAGGGGTGACTGTATATTATATTATATTAGTTGGACCCAAGCGAAGATATGCATTTATAAGGGCTTTCACAGGGCATTCAGAGGGTTGCATTTAGAAAGGGCTTGACTATAAAATTTATATCTGAACCAGATTCTGAAATCAGGTTTTGGATCCAGGTTTGACACCAAGTCCTTAGGTTTACAAAATGGAACCTAAAGGTTTTGAAACCAAAACCGAACCTAAACCAACCTAACCATCCCTGTGTTAGTAAAGGTGAAGTTAATACATTTTGTGTAACCACGTGATCAAAGATTGGCGAAAAGTGGATGGTCGAAATCTTGTACGTACGATGTTTTGAGAAAATTTCCAAACAATGGATGAAATAACAGAACAGCCGCCTTCCGCTTTGAACGAAAGGATACTCGAAAGCTTATTAGGGCTTACTGATCAGGTATAGAGATTAATTTTTTTTTAGTTACTTGTAAGACCATTCAGGGTGATATGTTATAAAGCATTTCATGTTTTCATTAGGCATATTTGTGATAAAAGAAAATTGGAGATAGAGTTAAGATTTTTCTATGTAGGATATCACCTGAATGAGTGGTTGTTAACAATTCATGTTTTAAGTGTCAATAACACATGAATAAACCTATTGGTAGGACTTTGACGAAGACAACGAAGATAATTTATTTGGAGAAGATGATTGGGAAATCTCATTTGATGAAGTAGATGGTATGGAAATTCTTTCGCGAATGTATTGAATAAATTAAATGCCTGTTAATAATAATATATTTGATTATGTTTAGATCATATTTCTGAATTCCAGGAAGATGAATTTGTGCGCGAAGCATTTGCAAAGGTGATAAATATACGAAATTCATGAATTAAATTATTACAAGTGAAATAATTCTATATTAACTTTAGGGCATGGATCTGCGAGAATATGCACGAAATATAGAAAAAGAATTGAGTGTAATTGAACGAGAACATGAAATAGATTGTATCCTTTAAATATTTAAAATCTTTTCGTTAGTAATAGCACATAATACCATCGTAAATCTTTGACAATTTATATTGATCAGATATTAATCAAGCTAAAAATTTCATAGAACTTCATAATCAGATCCAGGTAATGATTAATAGAATACTTGGTTTATCATTTACAAAGAATCGGATTACAACCTAACAATACTTTTTATAAGTCATGTGATCAAACTCTAGCAACTATGGAAAATATGCTGAGTGTTTTTCAAATGGATTTGGGTAACATTAGTACAGAAATCCAAACTTTACAGGATAAATCAATTTCAATGAACATAAAACTCAAGAATCGAACAGTGTGTATTTTTAGAGTAGCAAATATAGCATTCATAGGTTTATGAGACAAAATAAACACTTAATTTTTGTTGTAGGCTGTGGAAAAAAAATTAAGCGCAGTTCTAGAAGGAACTGTAATACCGCCGTCCATGATCAAGTAATTTATTATTTAAGAATGAGGTTATATGATTATACAACATTTAGTTAATGTTCTTCATAATTCGTTAGAGTAATTACGGAGGACGATGTTGATGAAGCATGGTTAGCGTACTTAATGGAGCTTAATAAAAAGATGACCTATGTAAAAGATGGACAAACAAATAACGTTAAGGCGATTAGAGATGTCGGACCAGAAATGGAAAAATTGCGTCTAAAGGCATTGTTATATTTAAAACTTTCGAGAATTTGATATATTATTGGGAAAATAATAATAGACTTTCTAATTCTTGGCAATTTAACTTAGGCAACTGAGAAAATTCGTGACTTTCTTTTGAACAAAATACGATCACTTCGCATACCAAACACAAATGTTCAAATTCTGCAGCAATCCGTTTTGTTGAAATATAAAGCACTTTATCAATTCGTGATAGAGCGATACAGTGAAGTTGCATTTGAGATAATGCATAATTATATAAATACCATGAGGTGGTACTTTTTCAATCATTTTGAGAGATACAATCGAACGTTGCAAAAACTTCAAGTGAGCGTTATTTCTTTTCTTGAATTTAATATTAATTTTTCACTGATTTTTCTTTCGTTCCTTTTAATGTTTTTAGAGCCAAATCGGAGATAAATTTTCATTGATCGGATATGATGAAAATACCAGAAAGGGTATTAATTATTATCGAATCAAATTATTTAGTTATTTAGTAATGCTTATTAAGAATTTGTTATTATTTGCTAGGTGGTCTATTTGGATCTGGTAAAATTGCTTTACAAGACAAGACAAGCATGTTTGCATTAGGTGATAGAATTGACACACTTCGTAACCAAGATGCTGGTGTAATCTTGGTTCATGTTGCTGAGAATAAGAATCAGGTATTTTCATAAGATGTAAATGCAAAATATATCAGATTTATATAAAATAATAATACTTTTGTTATATAGAAATATCCATATGAAGCACTATTCAGGAGCTTTAATTTAACATTTATTGATAATGCTAGTTCGGAATATCTTTTTATTGTAGAATTCTTTGCCAAGGATGACAAGCCCAATGTTGATTGGGCAAGAGATATTTTTGCTGAAATTTTTGATACAACCATCAAAATGGGCTTGGTTCGTACATATTCTTATCGTTTTAATTAACTTTGTTTTTTGATAATAGTCTTATAAATAGGCTTTTTAATTTGATAGAATTCTACAAAACAATACGTTGAAACCACTTACGATGCCATCGGCATACTTCTCTGTATTCGACTTAACACACAATTTGCATTAGAATTACAGAGAAGACGTGTTCCTGCACTTGAAGGATACACTAATCAAACAAATATGTTATTATGGCCTAGATTTCAAGCTATCATGGACATGCAGATTGAAAGTTTAAGAAAGGCCACAAACAAATTAATAGTTAAAGATGTTCATCCACATCATGTGAGTTGTGACACAATGTATTAGTGTTGGAACCGGTTTTATTTTTCATATGTTAAATCCGATTAAAACCGGTTTTAACATAAGAAAAATAAAACCGGTTCCAAACACTACAATGTATTTTTATTACAAAATTCTATAACTTATACGGATCTCATAAACTTTACAGATAGCACGTCGATATGGGGAATTATCAGCCTCTATATTAATACTTAATGAAGATTATAATGATCCAATTTTGTCGAATAATCTGTTGAGATTACGGAATGAATTGGAACAATTTCTTGAAAAAATGTCAAAAACTTTTGATGAATATAAAAATAGCTCGATATTCCTTATTAATAATTATGATTTGATAATTACAATTTTGGGAGTAAGTGGTTATATTTTTTAAATTTACAATAAGTTTTTCATCGAACAACCAAAGGCTAATTTGTCATTACAGGAAACTGGAGGCAAAGCTGTTGAAACTGAAGTCAATCATTTTAGAGAGCTTTTAAACGGTAAAATATCAGGATTTGTGGAAGAGGAATTGCAGCCTTATTTTGGCAGTTTAATATCTTTCATTAAGCAAGTAGATCAAGGAAAAGATATCTCAGCCATTGATTCAAGTATGTTATTTAGATTTGTTTTTTATTTTAATATTCAAATTATAAGAATTTTAATTTTTATGACCAAATGCGTGAAATTAGGTGTTTTTGATCAGATTTCTTCGGATTTTGCTGCGACTTGGCGCCAATCTATAACTTCTATTAACACATCAGTGATCCAACATTTTTCAAATTTTAAGAATGGCACATCCATATTGCATGCAGTTTTAGGACAATTGATAATTTATTATACAAGGTTTTGTAATATACTTGAAGAAAGAATGAATGATGGCAGTATAAGAATCAAGCATCAACCTGTTGGAGTACAAAGTGTTATGGTAGAAATAAAAAAGTTTCGAAGTAATTTTTAAACGTTTGTTGAACATACAGATTTTGTATAGTATATATTAGACTAATTTATAAAAATTTATTTTTTATTTTATTTAATTATCTTCGAAGTTCAACTGATACTTTTCTACTGTAGTATCTATTAATATAAAATGACTATATTAAATATATTATAAAATTTTTAAACAAAAACAAGAATGATTTGTTTATATATTTGTTAATATTAAATTTTGTCAATTTTTATACGTACTCTGTATATGTTGATACAGTATCTTAAAATCCCCATTATTTTTAGAGTTTTAACACCAAATATTTCTCGCAAAATTTTAACCCTAAATATATTTTTAAATCAGATTACATCTAGTGGCAGCGCAACTTCAGATACATAACAATTAGACAATGGCTCAGTAAACACTCACTCAAGTCTACGCAATTCTATATTCATATTCATAAAAACTTTTCTAATTCTATCTTCAAAACCTTTGCCATTCTTGCGCAATGACTTATTTCTAACTCCTTCAATGTACACACAATCAAATTCCGTCTCACCTCGAATAGCAAAACTGAAGTTAACGGGAGATATTTTTTTTTTGCATTGCAACACTCATATGATCCAAATCTACATCATAATTTCGGTCAAAGGGATATTGACAAAGAAGTGCAAAATTATATGTATATAGGGTTGTTAAAATATACTTGACAACGTAACTTACTCAGCCCTTATGTAAGTTACAATATAGGATTAAAGCTGGCCAAATCATGTACAATTTCTACCAGCATTAACAACAATTTGACGCAGCTATATAACTACCGCTACATCACCACCCAAAAAAGTTTCGGAAATCTTGTGATATTGTCAATTCATCATGATAATAATACGTATACGTATCCATATAGTTATACAACTGTAAAGAAAATTTTTTAAATGTATATTTTTATATAACGATAATAATAATAATAAACTAGGTATTTCTTTTAACTTGGAATATAGGTAGAGTTATTGAATTGAAGTTTTCATGAGAAATTGGTTCCTTTAGTCTTAATTTCTTTACTTATTATAAGAACCTGTTAGTTATAAGCTTTTGCTTAAGATTGAGCATGAAAAAATATTTATTTATTTATTTATTAATATATTGTGCTTATCAAGCTTAAAAATCAAATTTTTTTGGCATAAACGATATTAGTCGGATTTATCGACTTTGTCATATACACGTATGACAAACTTCAAAGTAAACGAGAAATGATTCATGGAAAAGGGAACAAACGTAAACGTTACAAGTTAGTTTTTAATAATAGATTTATAGATTTATATTATTTATAATTTGATTATTTTAATTATAGACTACGGCATGTTATGTTGCGTATTCACAAAAGGATCCACTGTCTAGTTCATGAATGTCATTGTAAATTGGCTAAATGGCTTTGCGAAAATTTTCGTATAATAATATTACCAGAATTTCGTACTCAAAGAATGATCAGATGTGGGCAACGACGTATTGGTTCTAAGACAGCTCGAGCCATGTGTACGTGGTCACATAACATCTGACCCATGGTGTCGAATAATTATTTTTACAGAAGAATATACGAGTAAAACTTGTGGATTCTGTGGTTACATCTACCGCAAGCTAGGTGGATCTAAAGTATTTTGTTGTCCTAAATGTAAAACAACTCGATAGGGATATTCGCTACCTTACTAAAAAAATGAGTCAGCTTAAGCTGACGTGGAGCCTACAGGACTTGTGTTACCTAATTCAGACTTTATTTAGTAATAGGGTGTTTTTATTAGGAATAATAGGTTCTAATGTAGGCTTATAAGGAATATGCATTCAAAAAAGGCCATAGACATCAACGTGTGACATTTAAATTTGATCAAATAATTTTGGCGGAGTTTAGTATTATGGAATTATCCAACGTAGCGAGGGGATCAAGAGATCAATGTTAATCGCTTACATATCATAATAAAACAGCATAGTGACTAACAAGAACCTTACTACTATCAGATGATGTAATATTTATGTCAAATGAGATTTATGTATAATTTAATTGATTAATTTGATTAATAATGCATGTTAAGGTGGTCTCAGAAAAATTCCTAACATACATCATCCTTATATAAAATGACTAATATTAGTGAAAACCGGTCTATTTCTGTAAATAAAGTATCAAAAGAACGAATTTCCGAAAATTTCGACATATTAAACGAATTCACGGTTGAAAATATGAGTACAAGTGAAAATGAACAAACTACGTCACAAAGTATCAACACTTTGGATTGCGAGGAAGCCTTTGAAGTTGGTTCTGCATTAATTGTATCTCAAAAAGATCTTGACCCGGGTTTTTTTATCACTCCCACCTTAGATGCGATTCAAAGTGATGCAACAGAGGTACCGCAGGCAGGCCCATTCACCATAAGTGAAAATATCTGTTTTCACTTGTACCAATGTTATTTGCACTCAAAGTTTTGCGATATCGAACTTCGGGTACCTTATGTCCAAGATGATTCCATCAAAGTTCATGCAATTATTTTATCTCGTTCTCAATACTTGAAGAAATTAATCGAAACCGATGGACCTGTCATTGTAATGGATGTTAATGATCCCAACATGAATCAAGAAGCATTGTATATTTGTATTGGACATCTCTACACACCTCATTATAACTGTGTCACACCTTCCAATGTGCGCTATGTCTTAGCCACCGCTTATCATTTTGAGCTAAAGGATTTGTGCGACTTTGCTAGAGATTTTATAAAGAATATTTTGAATCCATATAACGTTTTAGTTATTGGACAATGGATAGAAAACAGCATTATATATGGTGAATATTCTGATGAAATTAAACATTCTATTTTCGACTATTTGGCCGTGAGCTTACCTACAGATTTAAAAGTTTTCCCGAAAAAAAGCATATATCAAATAATGAAAGATGGTATTGGAGATATTGATCCATCATTCCCTAACTCTGGATATCATAAACTTGTGGACATTTATGCACTTTTACCATTCAACTGGTTCAAACGTGTTGTGGAATCTGATAAATTCTCTTGTCCAACTGATATCGATAGATTTCATTTTGCTCGACAGGTCATTAGTGCTCGCGCGAAAAGATATACATCAGAAAACAGATCTAAGCAATACGAAGCAGTATTTATGTGCTTTGGTTCGGAGTGTTCCATTTTAGTAACCAATGAAAAGCCTTGACGATATTTTGGTAGTGCTCTTGAATTATTTGTAATAAATATTAGACTTTTATCTTATTGTGATAATGCTTCTTGAAAAACTATAATGCAAAAAAAAGACATTTTAAGCTCATGTATCAGAATTATATATATATATATACAGTATATACACTTTTATATGTTAATAGACAAAAAACTAGCGAAATATTAGATCTCTATTATGAGTATGTTTAATATTTTCGTGTTTCATTATCTACGTTTGTGCGTCGAAATTTATTATACTTTAATTCTCAAATAAATTTCCAAGTCTATGAGGAAACTGTTTGAATTTTTGTTACAACAATTTAACCAAAACGTAACTTATTTTCATAGTTTTCTATAAAATATGCATAAAATTACGCCATATGTTTTAGCTTATAATCAACTTTTGAATAAGATTGTGTAATTTTTTTCATTTTGATTGTTTAATTTTGTATGAGTTCTATTCCTTTTAACTTTCGTAACTACAAAATTTACTTCTTCATTGTAACACCAAAAAATAATTCTAAAAATTCTAGAAATTCAAAAAGCTAATACTGAAATTTGATCGGTTAATATGGTGTTGTTTTTTAGGGACATTTTTTAAAAAAAAGTTACAATTTGGAGTGCTTCATCAGAAACAAAATCGCTATCTATTTAAAATTCTAGAATAGTATTCAATATTAATACTTCTCTTAGATAGTACCCTCTTCGGATCGGTATTATGCCGAATTTGCCATATCTCATTATCCCGTGATCATAACAAATGATTTTTATACCATTCGATTCCTCTCGATGAGAGGAATTGAATGGTCCGAAAATCATACAATTCTGATCACAGGGTCTTGAAATATCACGGTTTGTACAAAATAGATTTTTTAAAAGAAATTTAATGCTAAACATAAAGAGGGAATTAGGTTATCTTGTGATTCCGTTATCACAGCAACATGAGTTATTTCAGAATATCTGTAATCCAAATCAAATGATTTTTGTAGGAACCGAATGGTATAAAAATCGTTGGATTTGGATCACAGGATTACGAGATAACCCTAATTTGTCATAATACCTCTAGCATTAAATTTCTTTAAAAATCTATTTTATACAAATCGTGATATCTCAAAACCCTGTGATCAGCATCATACGATTTTTATACCATTCGATTTTTCTCATCGAGAGGAATCGAATGGTGTGAATCACGTGATGCTGATCACGTGACGTTGAGATAAAGTCAAAACAACCCTAGCGTCGCCCAGAAAAAATGGTAGCCGGATTTTTTTGCTGGCTTACATGTGACTTCGGATTACGATTGCCGGGTAAATCTCAAATTATTTTTTACGATTAAGATGTAAGTATAACGTTGACATTTGGTATATTTTGAAGTATTATTAAAAACTTTAAATATAATGCATAACAAACGCTGGGCATTATTTCTTATAGATGTTTTATAAGTACAACCGTGATTATAAAAAATAACAATTGTATTAATGCCAACAATGAAATAACAAATTATTTCCTAATCACAATGTTTCTTATTTCAAATTATATATATTTATTTTCACTGTGAATTACCATCATGAATTACTAAGTGTATATTCTTTTGAATTTGAATATTATAATTAGAAATATACATTTATTCCTAATTGTTTATTATGAAAATAAAATGCTTGAAAATTTATTTCCAATACATTGTATTATGATTGAAGTCTTGTCATGTTTTTAACATTGTTTGTCAATTATTTAGTGATAAAATATTATTATTCATTTTTTCCAATAATTTAAAATTTGGACAAACATTTTTCAATCATAAATATTTTTTCGACTTGGTATAGGGTTCTTCAAGAAGTTTCTTGGTCTTAAAATATAATTAAATTTTTTAAAAAATTTTTTTTTAAAAAAAATAATGATAAAATTTAAATATCTTGTTTAAGACTTTAAACAAATATATCAATTCTGATTTATATATATTCTACTCATTGTCATTACTATCTTCAATAATATAATCATCTTTATACTCAATAAGTAGGTTTTGTATTAATGAAAGATTAAATATTTTATTATTTTAAGAATCTTCCAAATTAAAAATGTTTATCAATTTGTCTTTATATGATGAAATTAATAAATAATTTCTATTTCACTGCACTTGTAATATAAATAATAATATATATTGAATCTTAAATAAAATAAAATAATATGCTATATAGTATCAGTAATAATATAGCCAAAAATTAAAAAAAAATTTATTACTTGTTTTTTTAAAGAACATTAAATTGGTTTTTTTAACAGAATTAACTAGATACTTGTATAAAAAAAAACAACTCAAACTATATATAGGGCATGCATATATCCACTTAATAGGATCTGTAAAATACTTATTATTTAATTATGTTTTTTGTTTTTTATGTCATTTCTATTTTTTCTTAAACTTCTTTCAAAATAGTACTGAATATCGACCTTGCTAAAGTAGTTGAACTCAATATAATTGTTGGTAAAAAACTTTTTTAATAAAAATAAAACATAAATAGTCAACCTTTAGTTTGTGAAATTTATATAAATGATTATGCTTAATATGATGCCAATGTGTTTTAATGATCATTGTTGTTTTAATATGCTAAATATTTCCATTACCCAATCTCATTCATAAAATCTATTTTTTTTTCAAATACTACTCTTTACAGAGGTATATCCACAACTGAAATAAATTATTATATTTGTAAAATTGAAAAATTTTATTAACACACTCTTTCCGAATCTCATTAGTATTTGTAACAAAACTATAATCAGATTTTGGTAGTAATATATGTCTGTTGAAATAATTTTTAATAAATTCTATTATTAGTTTACATAAATCTAGAGAACAAAAGACTATTGAATTATTATTTATAAATTCTTAATTAGGATCTATTAATAGACATTCTTCATGCGCAATTTTAGAATTATAAATATAGTATACATTTGTTTTATTTAATGTCAACTGCTGTTTGATAGCATGACATACATGTTACATATATACTTGTATACAAGCTTTAGGTCAAACTGTTTGTGCTACATTTATTTCTAAAAAGTCCTTATCAACTAAAATAAGTTGAAAAATTTTTAAATGTTGTTCTCTTAAAGCTTGCATCTAGAAAGTAAGGATACTTGTTATGTCTTAATTTTTTTTAGATAAAATTAACAAGTAACTAAAAGAAAACCTGATACTATTAACTACACCTATAAGTGCATACAATTCCTATAATAAATTATTTGTGCTATAAGTTGTATTAATTACTATCGCATCTAATTTATTGTAAACTAATTGGTTAAATAATATTGTTAAAAATCCAAATATAAGAATGGACAAATTAAGATAGTTTAATATAATTTGTAATCTATATTCTTTTAATAAAAGCTTTGCAGATAATAAAGGATCTAAATATTGACTATATATTCTCTGAGATTTTACTGACTACTAATAATAGATTTGTTGAACAGTTATATATTCGTATCTATTAATTTGATTTTCACAAACTTGATGACAAATTTCTGAAGAAGAACAATAAATATTATCTTTGATGAATTTTTTAATTTCAGGAGATGTTTCAATATGACTTGTCTATAAATGTAGCATTTTGTAAGAATATTTGATTACAATTAAATTCAATTCAGAAAAAATTTCTATATTTATAATACTTTTGCAATAATACCTTTCTAAAAAGGTAAATGTGTCTTTTTATTTTTCTAAAACTGGATGTTTGGCTTGATGCTTTCTAAGTTTGATTCAACAATTACAATACTATATTAAAAGAAAAAACTTTTTTTTTTGATTCTTGGTATGGTAAACCCATGAGTATCCATCACTATCTAAGATTAACATAATTATGTGATGACCAAATTCAAGATCAAAATTTTCTTTGTTAGAAAATTTATTTTTTAAAAGAAAATTTTGAAGAGACAAAAGCTCAATATTAAAATCAATATTTAACTTCTCATTTTTATCTTTATAAAAATTGTTGGTATTATTCAAAGAAATTAAGGAGTTATATACAGCTTCAGTAATGTTCATATGACTAATTGCTGATTAGAGTTGAATTTTGTTTTTTAAATAGTTTGTTTTAAGTTTATTTCAACATCTTAAATATTTTTTTAAAAAAACTCATTTTTCATTTAGAAATTCATCATAATTTTTAGATATATAACAATATATACAGGTTTTATTATTTAAATTTAATATAGTAAATATTTGCAAGATTAAAGAAAAGCCTAATAATTATTGTTATTATTATTGTTATAGTTTACTAATACAATTTAACTATATCAATACAATTAATTACACAATTAACTATTTAAATATCATCATCGTTATTTCTATTGCATAATTTTTTTTATTGGCAATCAGTATTAGAAGTTGCATGCAAGCCAGTAAGAAATCTGATATCCATTTTTTTTTAGCAATGCTATGTAAGTCATAAAGTCAACTTCATCACAATATCTTATATCTTTCAAGTTTATTTATATTAGAATAGTATTTAGTTTAGGGTTAGAGGCAAAAATATATATATATAAATATGCTTAAAAAAAACTTTTTGTTAGTGTATGAAAGAAAGTTTCTTGTATATTTTTTTAAGAAATATTCTGTTTTTTCTTCAAATTAGTATTACATTTTACTGTTGGTTAACAGATACAAAAGATATGTCTTCTGTAAAAGATGTTTAAAAGTATCAAAAATAAATATTATAATATCTTGGAGTTATTATTTTGCAATAGTACATAATTATATATTATATATTGCTAATATTTTAAAACTATTTAAACAAATAAATTTAATTCTATTGTATATAATTTACATTATTAATAATATTTAAAAAAAATTTGCAATAATTGTAATATGCATTTTTATACTGATAAATAAAATTTTAATTTTTTTTTTTTTATATTAGAGTTAGTATAGATTATAAATAAACTTTATTTAAAGAATTGTTTTTATAATTATATATATTACATTACTTTTTATTATATAAATTTTTTTTTTAGTATTAAAATGAGGCCTTGTTTATATCTTTATTAATAATTTTAGTTGTACATATTAATATACTATATATTAAAGATATACTAAGATTGTAAAATACATAAATTTTATATTTTATTATTATTATTTTTTAAATAAGCAGTTAATCACTTAGCCAAACTAGCAATTTTTATTAATTAGTAATATTCAAATATATATATAGTTTATAAGAGTACAGCTAGTTACATATACAATTTTGGTTATTATTTATTTAAGTATACTTGCTGACAAAATCTAAACAAATTTCAAATCTTTAAAAAACAAATTATTTTTATAAAAAATTAAATTAACAAAATAATTTTAATATTTTATAAATATATTATACATAACTATAATAATATATCATATATTATTTGATTAAATAAAGATTTTTTTTATTATTAATAAGTAATTAATCACTTAGTCAAACTAGCAATTTTTTTATTAATTAGTAATATTCTAAGTATATACATAGTTCATAAGAGTATAGCTAGTCACATATATAATTTTAGTTATTATCTATTTAAAAGTTCTGCTCTAAGATTATCTACTATTTATCATATTTGACTTTTACTTATAACTATTCTATTTAAACTCTTTAGCTTATCTAATTAGTACTTATATACCTCTAATTATTTTATCTTAAGGCTAATTAATTCTGTTGCTACCTCTTATTCAGGTTTAATAATATTTTTTTTTATACTGTTATCTAGACCATAGCAATGTTTGTTAATTAACAGTAAGGTACAAAAGTTTTATTATTAAGTTATTTATCTATTTTACAAATCTTAACAGAGCTATACTCTTGCAAAGTTTATTTATATCTTAGTACCTACTTTATAGCATATTCTTAGTACTTTATTATATTACTATTTAGTCTTTAAACTTTCAATCCAGATAACTCAAAAGAATTGTAACCTGTTTTTAGTATATTAAGTCTAATTTGATATTCTTTTTTTTTGATTTGTCTAGCAGTCTGGTTGGTAATACTTCTTATATAAAAGTTTTTGCTTATCTGATTTATTCATATTGATATCTGTTTTCTTAATCTAGCTTTTACAATAATACTGTTAAAGTCTATATTATCTTTCTACTTAAGTCTTTCCAAGTAGGCTCTAGTTTTTTTTAGTTTTATAAATTTACATAATTACAAGATCTTATTTTAAGTTTGCACTGCCTAGTATCAGTTTGCATCACTTTATATAATTAAAATTACACAAATGTCATATAATCTGCTATTTATATTAGTGTAATTATAGTTATAGATATCTTATTCCAACTAATTAACAGAATGTTATCACTATAATATAGGTTAAGTATTACATAGATAATTATACAAAGTTTTGCTAATAGTAGTTTTGAACTTAAGCTACAACTTAGAAGGTTGACAATCTATTTACTTTACTAAGTTATCATATTCTAAAATAAAAATTATTAATAAAGTTTTTAAAATATTAATTTGAGCTTTAGTTTGAGATTTGAATGCAAACAAATTTAAATTATAATAGTTTAGAATTTGATAGCAAGTATACTATTTAAGAATTTGATTTTAAAGTTATTTACTATTTGCTATATCTGGTTCTTATTTGTAAATTTCTTATTTAAACTTTCTGGCTTATTTAATTAGACTTATATACTTTTAACTACATTAGTAGAATAAATATATAAAATATTGTAAAAGATTTTGCATATCAAAAATCTTTTAAAATAACTGCAATTGATATAAAACTATTTTAAAATAAAATATTTTGCAATATTGTGAAAAAAATAAAATAATTTTGAAAAAATTTAGATTATTTTACAAAAAATTTAAAAATTAATAAAACTAAAAAAATAAAAATATATAAACTGTCAAAAATAGAAACTATCAAATTTGACAGATGATCAATTTTGAAATAATTTAAAAAAACAATTTAGTTATACAAAATTAAACTAGTCTAAAAAAGTATATTTCTGTTATAAATACATTTTATAAAAAAAAAAGTAATTTGAATTTTTATTACTATTATTATCATTACTATTAATCTTTATATTTTATAAAATTATATATAATGATAATAAGTGCTATTTGTTTTTTATTTTTTGTTATTTTTTTATAAAAAACTGAAACTTATATAATATAAGTACTAGTTTCTTTTTTTATATTTTTGTTATTTTTTATTCTTTAACTTTCTTTTGTAGATTTTATACTTCACTAAGGAATATGAAATAGAAGATCTTGACTTGTAGAACTGATATAATAAAAGTATCAGTTTCTTTTTTTATTTATTGTTGTGATTTTATTCTTTAACTAACTTTTATTTTTTTGTAGACTTTGTGTTTTGTCAGAAAGATAAAATGGCATAATCTTGGCTTGCAAAACTGATATGATATAAGTATCAGTTTTTTTTTTCTATTTCTTTGCTGTACTTTCATTCTTTTTTTTCTTTTATAAGTTTTATGCTTTGCTAAGAAATATGAAATGACATGACCTTGGCTTGCAGAACTAGTATATTAAAAGCACCAGTTTTCTTTTTTATTTTTTTGTTATACTTCTATTTTTTAACTAACTTTTCTTTCTTTTGTCAGTTTTGTACTTTATTAAGAAATATAAAATAGTATGATTTTGGCTTGTAGAACTGATACAATATAAGCATCAGTTTTTTTTTATTTCTTGTTATGCTTTCATTCTTTAACTAAGTTTTCTTTCTTTTGTCAGTTTTGTGCTTTGCTAAGAAATAAGAAATAGCACAATTTTGGCTTGCAAAACTGATATAATATATATATTAGTTTCTTTTTTTATTTTTTAGTCTTTTATTCTTTAACTAATTTTTCTTTCTTTTGTAGATTTTATGCTTTGCTATAAGATATAAAATAGTAAGATCTTGGCTTGTGAAACTAATATGATAAGAGCACTAGTTTCTTTTTCTATTTCTTTGTTGTGCTTCTATTCTTTAACTAATTTTTTTTTTTTGTATATTTTGTACTTCATTAAAGAATATAAAATGGCATAATTTTGGCTTGCAGAACTGGTATGATATAAGCACTAGTTTTTTTTTATATTTTTTTGTTGTGCTTTTATTCTTTAACTAACTTTTCTTTCTTTTATTAGTTTTATGCTTTGCCAGAGAATATGAAATAGTAAGATCTTAACTTGCTAAACTAGTATAATAAAAGTACTAGTTTCTTTTTTTATTTCTTGCTGTGCTTTATTTTTTACTAACTTTTTTTTTTTTTTTTTTTTTGTAAGTGTTGTGTTTTGTCTGAAATATGAAATAATAAGTTTTTAGTTTGCAGAACTAGTATGATAAAAGTACTAGTTTCTTTTTCTATTTTTTTGTTATGCTTTTATTTTTTGTGCTTTGCTAGAGAATATGAAATAAAAGATCTTGGTTTACAAAACTGGTATAATAAAAGTACTAGTTTCTTTTTTTACTTCTTGTTATGCTTTCATTCTTTAACTAACTTTTTTTTCTTTGAATATGTTAGGAAATATAAAATAGCATAATCTTGGTTTGCAGAACTGGTATGATATAAAAACCAGTTTCTTTTTTCTATTTCTTGTTGTACTTTTATTCTTTAACTAACTTTTCTTTCTTTTATAAATGTTATGTTTCATCAGAAATATGAAATAGCAAAATCTTGGCTTGTAGAACTGGTATAATAAAAGTACTAGTTTATTTTTTCTATTCTTTGTTATGCTATTTTTTAACTAACTTTTTTTTCTTTTGTAGATTTTGTGTTTTACTAAGGAATATGAAATAGTAAGATTTTGACTTGCAGAACTGATATAAAAAAATACAATTTTTTTTTCTATTTCTTTGTTGTACTTTCATTTTTTACTAATTTTCTTTTGTAAATTTTATGCTTTACTGAGAATATGAAATAGAAGATTTTGGCTTACAGAACTAATATTATAAAAGTACCAGTTTTTTTTTCTATTTCTTGTTGTATTTCTATTCCTTAACTAACTTTTCTTTCTTTTGTAGGTTTTGTGCTTCATCAAAAATATAAAATAATATAATCTTGGCTTATAAAAT